CTTCTAAAACGAAACCAACCAAACAAAAAGCAATTTCTGTTAGTTTCTAAACAAAGTCTCATCTCTTTCTTTTTCTCAGAGAGCTATGTCTATAGGCATCTTGTCCTTATCACCAAAAATTGCAAAGAAAGGTGAAAGGTCTGACAAGCCAGTCAACCAGTTTAGACAGAAGACTCACGTGTTAAAGACAAAGGATAATTATTACCTACAGCAATAGCAGTGGGCAGAGTATCAGTGTTACTTTTCATGCTGCTGCCCTGAACCTCAATTTACCCAGGTTAACATGAAGAGGTTCAGATAACACAAGCACTTGCATTAGGGCTACATTACAGGAATTTAAGGATCCTGAATTTTTATAAGAAGTAGTAAACACTGCCCTTTGCTCCATAGGTAATCATTTTCTCTATCTTCCAAGGCTGATCACTATATATAAATATCTTTAAAAAGATAGTTTAGAACAAAGAGAAGTGAAGACTCCAGATACGCAAGAATTGATGGAAAATTGTCTCTTAACAAAAACCTGGACTTTCTTAGTAGAAATTACTGGAAGCCACTGGTATTTATGAATTGACTTCTAGTTCATATTTCCATGAATTAGGATTATATTCAACTACTGTGGTTTAATTCAGCATGTGTTTTTTGTTTGTTTGGTGTGCTTTTTTTCCTGCATACAACCAGAAGCCCAGAAGTAGATGGTCCAGATCTGGTAGAGCTAAAAGTGAGTTCATCAAGGATGCAGATTCCTATCATCCAAGTCCACTATTCTCATCATTCAGCTTTCCACTTCATGGTTATAACATGCATATTACTTCTCTGTTTGGTGCTAGGTGGAGAAAAATCATGACGAGGTTGAAAAAAGTTTAAAAATATGGATAGGAAAAAGGAATAACTAGGATACAAATGATTATGGTACTCTAACAAGTTGATTTTCACAGACACAGTGTGGATTTATAAATAATAAGTTTGTGTAAGCAGATGCATTGGATTAAAGTGACAATATATTTGGAAGCTCATATGCTGACAATCAATTGAGATAACAGAAATGACTGACAGGTTTAATGCAACTACATAATTTAGTAGATACACAATAGTTCAAAAATACATTGTTGGGGCCAGCACTGTTGCATAGCAGGTAAAGCCACTGCCTGCAGTGCTGGCATCCCATATGAGCGCCAGTTTGAGACCCAGCTGCTCCACTTCCAATACAGTTCTCTGCTATGGCCTGGGAAAACAGTAGAGGATGGCCCAAGTCCTTGGACCCCTCCATTCACATGAAAGACCCAAAGGAAGCTCCTGGCTCCTGGCTTCAGATCAGCGCAGCTCTGGCTGTTGCGGTCAATTGGGGAGTGGATCAGTGGCTGGAAGACCTCTCTCTCTACCCTCTCCTTCTCTCTGTGTGTGACTCTTTCAAATACATAAATAAATCTTTAAAAACATACATTGTTAAGGAAATGGGAAATTTGAAATTGTTATACAAATACAGTTAAAGCAACAATGTAATCTTTCATTGTTTGGCATTGAGTTATAGCTTGTAACCCCTTGTAAAAATAAGCACCATGCTTACCAAGAGACCAGAATTCAGCTTGCAGCTATTTTAGTTTACAACAACACCCTAGTGTGTCACTATATTTCTTTACCTTTTGGATTACCTTATGGAATTGCTATTCAACACCAAGAAATCTACATTTCCTTAGAAGAAAAATGTTTTTTTTTTCCAATGAATAATTCTCTTACAAAAACCAAAAGTCACACTGTCTGCTGTAGTTAGCAGTGGATAACTTTTAGCATAAGCTGAGGCAATCAGTTTCTAAACAATCCATTTATGGCTGATAGATCATTGTATTGAATCATCTCAAAGCACTAAACATTTTCAAAACTGAGAAAAAAAAAATGTTTCTACAGACCAAGAACTAAAGAAACAAATAGATTAAGGAAAAAGATGATCCATTAACTGTGTGTTGCATGGGTTTCCCATGCTCTCAAATTTTTAGCTCCTGTACATTTTCTAAAACTTTGTTTAAAAAGGATCCATTGAGATGACTTTGCATATGGTAGACAAAGTGTGGAGCTTTGTCAGAAACTAATTCTACTTTAATAACCTAGAGTTCATTATACATGGTTAGAGGCATAATTTTCATGGTGAGCCCTTATTTTATCTTTACTGGGTGAAACTCATCAATGACAGTTTCTAAGGACAAAATAATTTGCTTCTATTGTTAAAAATTGTTAAGTAATAAATAACAAGTTCTTTAACCAATTGAAGGATATGTCCAGGAAGTTCTTGCAAGTCCAAGATTGAGTGCTATGGATACAAACCGTTGTGTTTTTTTTTTTTTTAATATTTATTTATTTTATTTTAAAGGCAGAGTTACAGAAAGGCAGAGGTAGAGAGAGAGGTTCTCCCATCTGCTGGTTCACTCCCCAAATGGCTGCAACTGCCAGAGCTGTGCTGATCCAAAGCCAGGAGCCAGGAGCTTCCTCTGGATCCCCCACGTGGGTGCAGGGGCCCAAGGACTGACTTGGGCCATCATCCACTGCTTTCCCAGGCCATAGCAGAGAGCTGGATTGGAAATGGAGCAGCTGGGTGTTGAACCAGCACCCATATGGGATGCCAGCAGCAGCTTTACCTGCTATGCCACAGCGCCAACCCTGTTACTGTTTTTCATATGGTATTCATACTAATCATTTGTATTCATAGTTTTTATTGCTTAAACCATCCCATAATTTTATTTGAACTCCTCAGTATTCCTATGAAGAATCACTTCTAAACACTACTGCCCCATTTTATATTTTAAGGCAATTCAGACAAAAAAAAATGTTTGACTTGCTGGAAGCAACCCACAGACAAGAGAAATCATTATGGGCATGACAGATTTGGTCCTTCCTCTTTTGAAACCATTATTCCAGTGGTACATTCAGACAAGCTGTGGGCAACTGTAATGAGGTAAAGGTTGAGCCAGAGAGGCACAAGGCATAACCACCATGGAAAGGCACATGAACATATTTGGGGAGAGCAGGTTTGGGGAATCTTCTCGAAGGAAATAAAGTATCATTTCAGACTTTCACTGTGTTGGTTCTAGGGGACAATATTAGCTTCAACTAATTTAACTTGTTCTGATCTCAGAATTTCCCCAATTTTGGACTTGATAAACACTTGAATCAACACCACATAATTAACCGCACCCAAGCCAAGGTTTCTCCCACCAGGGTTCTTGCACCAACTGTGGTCTTATTAAAACTACAAACAGAAGGGTTGGGAAGGGTGTAGCAGGAGCCATCTTTGACACACCTTTTCTAAATCTCATGGGGATGTGGTCCAGGAAAATTGCTGTTCCGATCATAAATACCGTTGGCAATTTGGAAAAGTGAAAAGAAAATAAAAATAATATTTTTGAATGTGACTTTAAACGGCTCCTGCTTCAATATAGGTCTCCCCACTCCCCTCTTTTCTTGACTGGGCATATGGGAGACAGCCTGCATGTGGGCAGCGTGGGAAGGTATTGTACATGACTTAGGAAACAAGTGCTACACTGCGGGCTGTCTTCACTGTTCCCAGCAACGTGGCTGGCTTAGGGTAGGTGCCTGATAAATGCTGATTTATTGAACGCAGGGTCACAGGCATTTGTAATCTCCAAATGTTTGAAAATCCTTTCTCCTAGCGTCCTATCCAGTGTCTAGTTTCGTGGAAAAGCCAGGGTATACGGAGTTTGGAAAAAGACGGAGACCAAACTCCCAACTATCAGCAGCTGCGAGGGCCAATTTAATCTGCTCCCAACTACAAGAAACAGAAATAGTACTTACACCCCAGTATCGGAGGGAAGCTTTACAAAAGTGCAGCATTTATTCTAAGTGGGTATCAATGAAACACTACTCTAAATGCAAACACTTTTAGAACCCTGCCCCACACAAATGAATTTTATAAATGTCCATTCAAACCCAGGCGGTACACTCTTCCTTGAAAGCTTATAATAGGTCAGTGTCCAGAGCACTTAAAAGCCAAAAAAAAAAACGAAATATTAGTGAACAGATGAGAAAACCATGCGACCACGTCCTGGGGCCGCGGGCGAAAGCCCCGCAGCTCGAAGGCCCGGAAGGAGAACGTGAGTGGTCTTTCCCCGCCCGGCGCACGGCACGTGGTCGGCTTGGGCGGGAGCTTCGCGACAGTGGGGGAGGGGAACAGCGTGGGACGACACGGAGGGGGTCTAGACAGCCAAGGCTACGGTTGAGCAGGCGCCGACTGCGCAGGCTCGGGATAGGCGCAACCACTGCGCGAAGATCCGAGGGTGGGAACACACACAAGGGTCGTCGTTCTCTTGGTATTGCTGAAGAGGAGCCTGCCTTTTTCATAATTTTAAGGCTTTGAATGGCGCTGTTCCCCGCAAGCTGTTCATCACTACAAGGATTCTCACCCAAGCCTGAACCGGCCTCTTTCTCTGGTCATGCCCCTCCCTCCCCCGTGGAGGACTCAGTGGACGCGTCCCACCTCCCCTCGGCCTCCGGAGGTGGTTTGGCGGCCCCCTCCCCCTCCCCAGTGTCGCGAGTTGGCGCCGCTGCCACCCCCGCTCCGCGCTCTCGGCCCCCTCGGCCGGGCTGTACCGAGCCCTCCGGGGACCCTCCCCCTCCGACCTGCCCTTCCCCGCGGGGCGGCATCCCCCACCATCCCCCTAGCCTTTCTCTCCGCCGAGCCGCGGCGGCAGCTGCAGCCACAGCAGGAGGAGGAGCCGGAGCCCGGAGGCGGCGGTGGCCGGGGAACCCATGGCGTACAGTCAAGGAGGCGGCAAGAAGAAAGTCTGCTACTACTATGATGGTGAGAGGCCGGGTGGGCGGGTAGGGCTGGGTCGCCGGGCCGGGGGCCGCGCCGGGCTCTCTGGCCGCCGTCGCGAGTGGGTGCCGGCTCAGAGGGGTGGGAAGGAGGAGGGACCGACGCTTGGCCGCATCTTAACCCGTTGCGGACCCGACGCGGCCAGCGGGAGACCCTGCACCTCGACCCCCTCCTGCGGACCCTGCGGGCGGGAATGGGGGAACGCCCCGCTTGCTTTCTGCCTCTGTCTTCGGTCGTGCGGCCCGCAGCCCCCAAGGTGGCCGGCTGTGGGGACCACACTGGCCTGCCCCTGCTGGTGGTAGTGGCGAGGGGGCCGGCCCTCCCTGGCACTTCACCCGCCTCTCGTGGCATCGCGGTTTTGGGGGACCCCTTCGCCGGCATCCCGCACCCGATCCTTGCCCCCCTGAGTCAAAATTCCTACCCCGGCTCTGACTACACAAAGCCCAGCGGCCGCAAAGCTCCGCCCCTGCAGCCCCCTCCGGTGCCCCTGCCCCCGCTTGCGCCCCTCTGCTCGCGTCTGGCCCGGGCGCCTTCTCTCTCCGCTGGCAGCCGCACCCCGGACCCCTCGGCCCGGGGCGATGCCGGAGTGGGGGTTACTGGGAGTGGGAACCCGAGTCCGGCGTGCGGCGCCCTCACCCCCGTGTTCTGCGTGGGCTGCATCCCTCTCCTTTGTTCACCCGGCTCTTTGAGCGCCACTTTCTCCGGATTCAAATTGATGGGCTCCACTTCCTCCGTAACAATTAGGGATTTCGAGTTTGAGGCTGGCAGTTGGCGCGGCGAACGAGAGAGGAAAATGAAGAGCTGTGTTCCTGCTTGTGTTGTAGGTCAGACTCGATGGGTCCTGGCTTGCCCGTGTGGGAGGTGGTTACCACCCACTTCTTTGTTGTTGCTCTTTGTTCGATCAGGAAGTAGACCCTGCTTTGGAGGTGTAGGGGACCGTGGGCATCTGGCTTGTGAAGGCTGTTCTCAGGTGGTGGGGATCCTGATGTAGAAAAACTGGAGGGAGTAGTGCAGGAGGACTAAGGAGTTTAATCAGGTAAGCTTGAGCTCACGGTATGGTGAATTATAAAAATCAGGTTATTTAATTTTAGGGATTCTGTAATACAGAGTAGCGTCAGTAACATTACAACTCTGGATTCTGCGTTCTGTGCCAGCCTAAGTTACACTAAATGGAACACTAGCTTAAGAGATTTTACAAAGATCTGAACTCTAATAGGTTACCCTTTGGGAGAAAGAGTACTGAAATTTAACAAAGCCAGGCTGAGTGATCTGACAGTCCTAATTGTGGGAAGCAATACGAATACAGATGTGAGAAGCCGTTTCTTATGGATTGTATACTGTAAATCACAACTTTAGAAAGGTAGCTAAGGTCAGTATAAACCTGGCTGTAACAGCAGAACCGTGCCCCTTCATTTAGCAAGGATCCCATTTTTTAAAATGCCAGTTTTATATGAAATAGCCATCTGAGTCATTTGTGGGAAATTATGTATTATGGGAAAAAATTTAAATTGACCCATAATACCTGGGACAAAATAGGAACAGCCTTGTTTTAAAATGTATCCTTTGAAGGACTGCAAATTGATTTGAAATTATACTGGGGCTGTAGAGATGGGAGTACATTTTAACATGAATTTTATTGCATATTTGGGTTGTTGGCAAAACCTTTCCCCCTACCTTCTCTAGTTAAATTGGAAATGTAACAACCTTATTTTTATTTTAAAATATTTATTTATTTGGGAGTTAGAGGGAGCGATAGATAGAGATCTTCTATCCACTGGTTCACTCCCCAGTTGTCCACGATGGGCCAGGTGGAAGCCAGGAGCTTCTTCTGTGTCTCCCACATGGAAAGCAGGGGCCCAAAAGCTTGGGCCATCCTCTTTGCTTTGCCTACGCCATTAGCAGGAAGCTGGATCAGAAGTGGAGCAGCTGGGACACAAACCTGTGCCCATATGGGATGCCAGTGTTGCAGGCTGTAGCTTTACAGCCCGGGGGTTGTTTCCAGAGTTTAGAGATTTGTTTTTTGGCAGGACTTGGAACAAAGGGAAAAAATTTAACAAGTTGCAGAAAGTGGTGCTCAGTGTCTGTCAGTTGTCACTTGCTGTTGGCAGTGATGGGGTCCATGGAATAAAGTGCTCGCAACTTTTTGTCAACAGGCTTGAACTGTAGGAGCAGGAGGTATGCTTGGGTAGCAGTTTTCTGAGAACTGTTTGTTCCTCAGCCCATTTATGATAAGCCTTTGTTGAGAGTGGGGGCAGACATTGGTCCCAGGGGCAGGATGCAATTGGGTAGAGTGGAAGATGTTTGACAGTCTTGATTTGTGTTAGTCAGTTCTTGATTGATGGCCAACAGTACTGACAGTCTGATAGGTCTTCTGTCTGTGGCTCTGATTGGACTCATTTTTAGAATGGACCCTTTAGTTGCTTACTTTTCAAATCGTCTTGGAGTTCCGTGGAAGGTGCTAATAAAATACCCTGAAGAGATTAAGTCATGTATAATTGTGCTGATATGTGGCAGCATGCTAAGCTCTGCGCAGTTAATTACAAAAACATTTTTGTTGTCAAAAAAAACTATTTTGTCACTTTATAAAAACAATTTTTTTTGTTAAATTATGAACATAAGGATGCAAGTAAAGGAACTTTGGCATCAAAGAACTTACACAACTTTAAGGTATACAGCATGGATTGGACTGGGAGTGAGTGGAATCAGTAGCAGGATCTGAATAATCTGCTAGCCTGTTAACTGGTTTGAACTTGTTGGTAAAGGAAGTAGGGAGAAGAGTAAAGGAGTGAAGTAACAAATTCTGTAACCATAGGTATCTTACCCTTAGGCTCCCTGGGACCATCGGACACACTCCGAGCCTCTTGGCAACAAGAGAAGGTTACCATTGAGGCTTGTGTCTTTGCATGAAAGAGAATTCTAAAAATTATGTATTTTTTCTATGCACTTAACAGTCTTCAGCGTGAACACCCTTTAGATCACTGAAATGCTGGTTTAGGCCTTAATGGGTAATGTATCCTTAAACACCTGAAGCAAAGTAAGAGAAATTCTCTGATTGTGGCTACTGACTCACACTGCCATAGTCTCTAAAAACATACTTCATCAAAGTCACTTGTATAAAAATGATATAGCTAGCTATAAGAACAAGGTAGAATCACTGATCTTCATTACTGCCTTACTTTTTTCCATTATGACTTGTACCTCCTACCTTTTGTCTCTCTCCCTACTGGAATATAAGTTTCATGAGGACGGAGTGTGTGTTCCATTTATCTCTGCCATCTAAAGCAATAAACTTGTAATTGATGAATAAATAGTTAATTCCTTATATTTTATAGATAGGGCACTTTTGTATAACTTTGTCTTCTTCTTAACAACCACTCTGAGTTAGCAGGTAGAATGTCTATTATATAGAAGGAAACAAATTAATACCCCTGTTTCTTTTTTTTATTATTAATTTTTTTTTTTTTTGACAGGCAGAGTTAGACAGTGAGAGACAGAGAAAAGTCTTCCTTTTTCCGTTGGTTCACTCCCCAAGTGGCCACTACAGCCTGCGTGTTGCGGCCAGCGTGCTGTGCCGATCTGAAGCCAGGAGCCGGGTGCTTCCTCCTGGTCTCCCATGCGGGTGTGGGGCCCAAGGACCTGGGCCATCCTCCACTGCCCTCCCGGGCCACAGCAGAGAGCTGGACTGGAAGAGGAGCAAACGGGACAGAATCTGGTGCCCCAACTGGGACTAGAACCCCGGGGTGCCGGCGCCGAAGGCAGAGGATTAGCCTAGTGAGCCACGGCGCCGGCCTACCCCTGTTTCACTTTTCCTTTTCCACATTGACTTTAGTTTTAATGTCCAGGGAGGGGTTCACATCTGGAATCCAAAGGTTTTTCTTTTTTCTTTTTCATAGAGTTTCCTGTGCTACCAAAAGGTACTAAAAATTATTTAATTTAACACACTTTAAATGTTGAGAAATCCATAAAAGAATACAGTTGGAATTGGAAAGGGGGAGTGACACTTTTTAGAGAATGTTTATAACATTGAAACATAGATGAGAACAGAGTTAAAAGTTTGAATCTGAGGATGTAGTTTGTTCTGATGTTATTCCTCTTTATACCTTATAGTACTCATGTAGTCAATTTTGGATTTAGAAAAAACAAATAGGTTTTAAGTCCCTACTTTGAACTACATAAAAGATCATCTAAGGGTCTGGTGTTGCGGCACAGCGGGTTAAGCCCTGGCAGCGATGCCAGCAACCTTTATGGGTTTACAGTCCCCATTGCTCCACTTCTGATCCAGCTCCTGACTTCCCTCTGCCATTGCAGCCATTTGGGTAGTGAACCAGTGGGTGGAAGATCTCTATCCCTCTGTCTCTGTAACTCTGCCTTTCAAATAGATAAAATTAAAAAAAAATCACAAAGATTATTTACATCATAAGAAGGAAATAAAAGGCTACATTGGAGAGTAAGAGCAGAGACATTTGATAGGGTGATCAGACAGTGGAAAGCCAGCTCCTATCTGGCCTATTGCAAACTGCAAAGGCCAGATAATTAGAACTTGTCCTACTTAGCAGAAAAAGCAAGCCAAGACTGTGTATTTCTAGATTAGGCACTAAACTAGACCACCCAAAACTTTATGGAAAGAGATTTTGACTTTTATTTAAAGATTGGAAAGCCATTAAAGGTTTCATAAGTAGAGAACATGCTTTTAAAAGAATTGGTAAGGTATGGTAGAATGTAGGCTAGAAGCAATAATTGAATGCATATTGCTCCACATAAAATGTAATGGTTGCATTTTAGATAGGAATGGTCACATTTAAGGGAGGTTTGGGTAGTAAAAACAAAAGAATTTGTTGATGGATTAGAAATGGAGTTGGGGCTGGATGATGTTGGTAAAGAATAAAAGAGGGCTCGGTAAATTCCTGGATTGAGCAGTTAAGTGGGTGGTGATACCATTTCCTAAGATTCTGTAAAGACTAAGCTTAAGCTCAGATTTGAACATATTATATATGTGTTCTTCAGTTCAATAGAAAATACTGAGTGTTTCTCTGAGTTTGGAACCCAGGGAATGGAGACCAAGCAGGAATTTGAGATTTATCAGTGTATAAATATAAAGTATTGAGACCTTAAAAAGAAATAGAAATTCTAGAGAATTTAGGGCAGAATTCTTCTTCGCTAATACCCAAGAATCAAGAACAGTGACTGGGCTGGCGCCGCTGCTCACTAGGCTAATCCTCCGTCTGCAGCGCCGGCACACCAGGTTCTAGTCCTGGTCGGGGCGCCAGATTCTGTCCCGGTTGCTCTTATTCTAGGCCGCTCTCTGCTGTGGCCCGGGAGGGCAGTGGAGGATGGCCCAAGTCCTTGGACCCTGCACCCACATGGGAGATCAGGAGAAGCACCTGGCTCCTGGCTTCAGATCAGCGCGGTGCACTAGCCACTAGCCGCAGCGGCCATTGCGGGGTGGACCAATGGAAAAAGGAAGACCTTTCTCTCTGTCTCTCTCTCTCACTGTCCACTCTGCCTGTCAAAAAAAAAAAAAAGTGATTACCTGACAACATAGTGGGCCCTTGGTTTATTAAGTAAATGAATGAATTTGAGAAATTTCTTGTGGCCTTGGGTTGGAGTAAAATCCAGGAAAATTGTTATTATGGAAGCCAAGGCTCAGAGTGTTTCTTTTTTTAAAGATTCATTTTATTTATTTAAAGACAGAGTTACAGAGAGAGGGGTCTTCCATCTGCTGGTTCACTCCCCAGATGGCTGCCACGACTGGAGCTGCGTCGATCTGAAGCTAGGAGCTTCTTCTACGTCTCCTATGTGGGTACAGGGGTCCAAGGAATTGGGC